AGCAGGAAAGTCGGGCTCAATAACTGCGCTTGCCAGGTGGAACATCACGCCCGTCTAGGCTTCCGCGCCGCGCACTCGGTGACAGGGGTCGAAACCATGCCCGACAGCATCGAGCGGGAGCCACTCTGCCGGCGTGAAGCGGGGGAACAATCACAACGAGCCGAGCATCACCGGCAGCAGCTTGGCCGACTTGAGCCCACCGGTCTTGCGTTAGCGCGCACGTTCACGATGTAGGCGAGCGCCGCCCCTTGGTGAGCGTTGAAGAGCCCACGTTGACCACTGACACCGCGAGCAGGATGCCGAGCGCGAAGCTCCCCGGCTGCGGCCGGCGGCCGCGAGGGCTGCCCAGCAGAGCCGCCTTTGGCCGACCCACCGAGTACAGCTCGCCAGTGCGATGCACGGCCGGAAAGTAGGTCGCCAGCGTCAGGACGTACATCACCAGCGTGAGGAAGGAGGTGCCGGCGTCGCGGAGAAAACGCTCGTCGGCAAAGAGGAATTCCTCGAGGATGGTGACGAGCGTATGCGAGAGGAGCACGCCGGCGGAGAGCTGCACGAGCCTCACGGTGGACGGCATACCTTTGGTCGAGCCTTTGGTCAAGCCTTTGGTCGAGCCTTTGGTCGAGCCTTTGGTCGAGCCTTTGGTCGAGCCTGCGCCAGCAGAACTTCAGCGAGGGTTCCAACTTTTTGCGGGGTATGGTATGGTAGTCGCGGCCCAAAGGGGTAGGGGGTATGGTCCTGCCCGCCCAAGACTAGCCCTACCATACCCCCAAGCAGGTCTGCCAGCAGGCGGGGGGGGTATGGTCTTGAGCTGGCATGCGCGACCCTACCAACCATACCCATACCCCGGAAAAAGTTGGAACCCAGAAGTGAGAAGCGGCAACTAAGCCAGGTGTATTCTTTTTTTGCTTGGGGCGGCCAGCATGATGAAATTCTGCAAAAACCTGACCGGCGGCCCCTGCGGTGCCCCTACCTACCTACCTACCTACCTACCCTACTTATGGGAAACTAAAAAGAAATCATCGGAGCGGTGAAGGTGGGTACTATACCAACTAAGTGATGGCCGGTGGTACTCTCCTGCAACCATAGTCCTTCCTGTGACATGGCAGGCCACTCTCAAGCCCTACAATAGCACCAGATCACCTCACTTGGGGAGGGTTGACATCGTGATTCGCGGAAAATTTCTGCTGTGAAAATTCCGGCGTGAAGAGAGGGAAAAACCCGACGGGAGGGCCCAGACCTAACCTACCTACCCCGTCATGCTGGCCGCCCCAAGCAAAAAAAGAACGCACTCTCTCACATGACAAGCGATCCCACGACAGCGATTGTGGGGACTACATGACCCGTACGTGAGGGGTGGAGGGGCCCGTCCGCAGAGCTAGGCGGCGCGGGCACCCACACACTCCCACCCCACCAGCTTGGGGTGTAGCAGGTTTGCCTCTCGCACCCCGTCTGTTTTCCTTTCCTTTTTTCTCTACAACACCCTCTCTTTTCCTCTCTATTTCTCGGAAACTCCGTGGAAATCGTCAAATTTTGGGCGCTGAGCCGAGTCTGAGGCTGGTTTGGGCCCAAAATCAGCCAAATTTTAGGCCAAATCGGCAAAATGCCGGGAATTTTGCGGATAACCCGTGTATACCTGGAAATTACCCTCGGCCTGCGACCGCCTGGGTATTTTGTCGATTTCCTCAACTTTGCCTCAGATTTTGCCCCAGACCAGCTCTCAGACTCAGGGAAACTCGCGAGTTTCCAGAATGGAGCACCAAACACCCTCTGTTTTCCCTGGAATTTTCCGGAAACGCAAAGTGCTGGGGACCCTCTGTTTTCCTTTTTGTTTGCCGGAAAACCTGCTACACCCCCCCCCCCAGAGCTCCTGAGAGAGACTTTAGAAAACCAACAAGAAATCACGACTCTCACAGTGATTTGGGCTCGGCAGCTTGTCAGCCCTCAGCCGAAGCTGGGGCCGGTCCCGTAGCCGAGAGAGCCCGCGCCGATGAGTTCGACGCGGTCGGGGGGCCTTGCGGAGAGGCCAGCGAGGTGGCGATCGCTGTACTTCATGGTGTCATCAAGTGACCGGCTGACAAGCCAGAGGTCGATATACTCTGGACGACCCATAGGATGCCACGAATGCCTGGAGGAGAGGGAGGCGAGGCCAGAGGCAGGCTCAGCTGCTCTCGGGTGATCTCACTTTGGTGGCTGAAGGACCCGATGGTCCTGTCACATGCGCGTTCCGATCGTGGGGGTAGAAGAATTCGAGGTAGAATCGAGTCAGCACTTCCTTGTAGTACAGCGGACCGCCAGGCTCGCCGGCAGCATCCACAGGGAGGCAGCATATGAGGCACCAGTCTTCTGGAGAGCTCAACAGCTGCGGCCGCGATGGTAGAGTCGGCCGCGGTTCGAGCGAGCAGCTTTTGGCTGCGGGATCGAATCGCGGAAGGCTCATGCCCTCGCGGAGCGACGCGGGTCGCGCGGCGCGCGCGTGTGCGAAATGCGACGACAGACGACAGACGCCTGAGCGCTGTACGACTGAACGACCGTCGCCGCAATCGCCACCGCCGCCATTTTGACGAGCAGCGCGAGCGCGCTCGTCGGCGGCCAGCCGTCGCGGGCCGGGCCGAGCCCGGCCTCGACCGGCCGCGCCGCCGCAGCAGGCCGGGAGGCCCGAATGGCGGCCGACCAGCTGATAAGGATCTTCTTTCTTGAGCTCCTGTGCCACTAGCCGCCTCGCTTCCGCGACACGGGATGGCAGGCACGACTCGGCAACCGCGAGCCGCTCACTCCCCCAGTCCCATTCCAGCATCTTCCCCGCCTCCTCCACCGGGCGGATCCGCTCCCGCGCCGCCTCCCCCACCTCGCGGTCGCGATCGCTCATGCACATTTCGAAGGAGCACCGGAGCCACTCTCGGAGCGCAAAGTCCTCCTGGTCGGCGTCGGGTCCCTCACCACGCGCCGGAAAGTTGGGTCCCGCACCAAACAAGAACACAACGCACTCTCTCACATGACACAAGCGATCCCACGACAGACAGCGATTGTGGGGACTACATGAACATGACCCGTACGTGAGGGGTGGAGGGGCCCGTCCGCAGAGCTAGGCGGCGCGGGCACCCACACACTCCCACCCCACCACCCAGAGCTCCTGTGCCACTAGCCGCCTCGCTTCCGCGACCGGGATGGCAGGCACGACTCGAAAAAGAATTTTTCTTAAAAAGGGAAAGCTTCCTCCCCCGTTCCCATTTTAATCCATATCAGCTCCGACGGTGACGGCTGTGGGCGGGGTGAACCTCCGCATTGAGGTGCGAGCCCTGGGAGGCCCTGGGGATGCACGAGCATTTGCTCGACGATTGACACGAACGATCCCGCCGTGCAGGAGGTGCTGCTGGCCCTTGAGACGCTGCGGACCGAGGTGCGGACCTCCTCGCCGGCCGCCCTCCCAATCAAGCCACACGACCTGCGACTGCCGAGTGGCGACCGTGGGGTCTCGCTGGCCTTGCTGGCTGCAATCGACCTCTTCTACGAGCGGCACGGCGGGGTGAGCCTCGCGATGGGCGACATTTGCAAGGGAGAGGGCGAGCACGTCACGGTCTGCGCGCTCACACTCTCGACCGGCCTCTCTCTAGCCGAGAGCGTTGCTCATGTGGCAGAGCGAGACGGGCTTCTCCTCGCACGCGGCGCAGTCTCTCGCGCCCGCGGCTTCTTCTCCTACTCCTGGACCGGCACCGCGCTCGTCGACATGCTCGCCGCCATCGAGGACGTGGTGCGGCCGCTCGAAGCTCTCAGCGTCGGAGGTGGAGAGCGGCACGTGTGGGTCGACATGTTTTGCGCCTCGCAGAACCTGCTCGCGGGGGTGTACCGCTCGCCATCCGTCACCAAGGAGTCGGACCCGGCCGGCTACCTCGCTCGCAAGGAGGACACCGACCGGATCTTTGATGACGCTCTCGAGGCGGTGAGCGAGGTCTACTTTTACTGCTCGCCGCTTGTCGGCGAGTGGGACGCGCCGCCGCACCCTTTCCTGAGCCCGCAGCGGGATGCCAAGGGGGCGCCGGCGCAGCCATGGGTGCGGCGCGGAGCAGCGGCCATCACGCGCGCTTGGTGCCTCTTTGAGCTTTCCGTCGCGCTGGGGAAGAAGTGCAAGCTGCACGTCGCTCTGAGCCGCGCGGACTGCAAGGCCTTCGGAGAGATGCTGAGCAACGAGTTTGACCAGATTGCGGGCATCGTCGCCGCGATCGACGCGCGGGACGCGCAGATCTCAAAGGTGGAGGATCGCGGCTACATCCTCGGCCGCATCGAGGCGCTGGCACCAGGCGCGGCGGATGCGGAGGCGGAGGGCCTGAGCCACGTGACGGCGCGTGTGTCAGAGGCGCTTCGCGGCTGGCTGGTGGCGTCGGCGAGGGAGGAGCTCGGGAGGCTGGCGCCGGCGGAAAGGGCGACGTCCGTGCTGATAAACTCGTGTGGTCGGTTGCTGTACGTTCAGGGTGACCTGCCCGGCGCGGAGGCGCTGTATCTCGAGGCGGTGGGGGGGAGGCGAGATCAGCTCGGCGACCGGCACCCGGACACACTCGTCTCGATCCACAACCTCGGCAGGCTGCTGAGGGCCAAGGGCGACCTGAACGGCGCGGAGGCGCTGCTCCGCGAGGCGGTGCTGGCGAGGCGAGACGTGTTTGGCGGCCGGCACCCGGACACGCTCGCCTCGATCGAGTTCCTCGGCACGGTGCTAAAGGCCAAGGGCGACCTGGACGGCGGGGAGGCGCTGCTTTGCGAGGCGGTGGAGGGGCAGCGAGAGGCACTCGGCGACCGGCATCCGAGCACGCTCCACTCGATCAACAGCCTCGGACACCTGCTGTGCGACAAGGGCG